AGCGCCGAGGAGCCGCGCTACTGGAGCAACCCAGCAGCACCCCAGCTGCTCTGCCCCAGGCGTCTCCAAGTCAGCCGCTGCTGAAACTAACCAGCAGCTGACTACAGGAAGCCCGAGGCAGAGTTGCTCTGGGTTTAAGTTGAATCTGTATGTAAGTTAGAACTGGCATCCAGATTCAGCCGCGGTTGAAACTAATCAGTTCCGACTTACATACAGATTCAACTTAAGAACAAACCTACAGTCCCTATCTTGTACGTAACCCGGGGACTGCCTGTATATACAAATCTGAACATATTGCTTAGAAAGATATTGTTTAGAAAGATGCTCAGGTAAAGAAAGCATCTGGCAGCCCTCTAGGGGCTAACCTTAGTGAACTGCATCCAGCTCACAGCCTGTTTATTGCCCACCCTTGCTCTATACCTTATTTTTGAGGGATTATTTTTAGTCAGCAATAAATAGGGTTCTGTGAAATAAATCCCTGAAAGAAAAATAAAGCAAAGTAACTAAACTGAAAGTCTAAAGTAAACTGAAATCCCATTATTCCCCTCCAGAGACTCATATTCACCATACTTTTTCCTCATGTATTGAAAGTGGTACTTGTGTGTTTCCATCTACCACAGTGCACAGAAATGAGAGATCTAATGTTCCTGGGATATATCAAGATATAGTGCTTTCTGATGTGTATGAGTAGATTTACTTCCCGTGAAAATTATAAATTAACAGATCTGTCCTGAGCAAGGTATAGTGTAGGCACATGGGCTACGTCTAGACTGGCATGATTTTCCACAAATGCTTTTAACGGAAAGGTTTTCTGTTAAAAGCATTTGCGGAAAAGAGCATCTAGATTGGCACGGACGCTTTTTTGCAAAGCACTTTTTGCGGAAAAGCGTCCATGCCAATCTAGATGCGCTTTTGCGCAAAAGGACTTTTGCCCGAACGGGAGCAGCATAGTATTTCCGCAAGAAGCACTGATTTCTTACATGAGATTGTCAGTGTTCTTGTGGAAATTCAAGCGGCCAGTGTAGACAGCTGGCAAGTTTTTCCGCAAAAGCAACTGCTTTTGCGGAAAAACTTGCCAGTCTAGACACAGCCATGCTGTACACATAACATACATTTACCAGCATCAATTACTACAACTTAACCCTGACCCGCAGCAGACCTGTTATTTTAGTCTGGATCATTCGTGCAGAGTTTGCTATAATTACATACGGTGGAATAAACCACTGAGGACTACTGAAAGACTGTGGCATTCACTTGCATTGTAGCTTTTCAGAGTTGTTGTCTATCTTGTTTGTTCGTACAGCACAATGAATCCCTCTCTTGACTGGCACTGCTGTGCACAATTGTAATATATATATATACACACTCTTACTTATGATAATCTAAGCTGAAGATTCTGAACTTAGACCTCTAGAGGTGAAAGGCTAGTACATTAACCCCATGCGCCATTTACTCTGACTTTCCCCATAATTCAGAAATTGTGTTTAGAAGAAATTGCCTGTTCAGAGAATCCCTCATCCAATAATTCCATTAGAGGTAAGTTTTCAACATTGCTGCCACCACACCCTGATATTTGGACATGAATGTGGGAAAGGAGCATTTGTGTATCTGATTTATACCATTATACTGTGACAATATTTTAGCATTCCTTTATTTATATACAAAACTAGCACATATACCAGGCGCTGCTTAGGTACTTTACTTAACTGATTTTTTTAAATTAAAGGAAAAGGTACAAGCTTCATTTAAACAATTGTATTTTTCAACAGTGTTACTTTGATGAAGTTGTTCTTTTTCAAATTTCTTTAAAAAGTGATTGTTAATTTTTTTTCATTTAATTGTTTTTAGTACATTTAAAAAAATGGAAATTCTTTCAAGTGTATTTTTCTTCATCCTTATAAACTATAAAGTTTTACCATTTGCTATGTTTCAACAAAAAATGGCTATGGTCAGTGTGGTTTACAGTAACATTTCTTCTAGTTTTTACACATTAAGCATTAATTTAGCTATGCCAAAACAGAGCACTACTTCAAATTTCTGTTTTATTTCTTTTCTGTAAGGTTTATTGAGAAGCAATCCTGTTGCAGGTTCATCTTATTTTTCTGGATCAGCTTGGGTCAGCCCAAGGGTGAAAGTAACTTACATTTTTTACAGGTATTGTCATATCACAACACCCCTGTAATAAATTTAAGTGAGAGATAGAGTACAAGAGGCTCAAGATGAGGAGTGCTGGGGAGTGCAGAGGCTCAGGACTGGAGATGTGGGGGGAGTGTAGGAATCAGGGTTGGGAGGGTGAGGAGGGGCATGTGTGGGGAGGCTAACCCCTCACCACCACAACCACCACCACCAGATTCGTACCAGAGCTGCTTGCTTTTCCCATTCCTGTCCCTTTCAGGGAACCAGAGAAAAGTGTGCAACTTGTCTGCCCTATGCACTCCCCAGCCAGTGTGAGGACTGCAGCAAACTGTGCATTTTCCCCTCACACCCTGATAAATGGGAATAGCCAGCAATGTCCCTGAACATATCAAGGGGTAGGGATGGAGTGCTTCACACACACACACACACACACACACACACACACACACACACACACACACACACACACACACACACACACACACCAACCACCTTCTCTAAAGGATACCTGGGGGTGGGAACCTTTGGGGTGGGGCAGTCCTGGATACGGGAGGCACACCCCCAGATAGCCCCTTTCATCTGCCTGGTGATTCTCTATCTTTTCTGTTTGGTTTTATAAGTAGCAATCCCATTCCAGGCACATCCCATTTTCCTGGCGCAACCAAACACACTACTTTTAATTATGGTAAAAGGAAGCTGCATACCAAATTTGGTAGTCCTAACTCTTACCATTTAGATGGAGTTCTTGAACAAACAGACAGACTCTCAAATATATAGTAGACTAGTACAGTTAATTAACGAGTAAGAAATGGATCAAAATTCTTGTCTTGTTTAGATAGGGTAATGAACTCTAAAGTGTTGTGATTTTTAAAGCATACTACCATTATTGATCCATATAGACCCTGCTGGTGCACTTTAATGTAGTGCTGTTTGAAACTAAAGGTTCTCTAGTGTGCCTCAGCATGGTCCAGACAGATCAGTTAATGCACAATCCCCCACCTCAGTAGAGCATTTTATTCCAATGGCTAAACAAGCCCAGTCTTCCTGTTCTGGTGGTAATATTTCTAGAACAGCATTTTTTTTTTAATAGTTTTGCTAGTGCAGGTGGAACTTCTCTGGTCCAGCACCCTCTGGACCTGAGCAGTCCCAAGCCACAGAGTGTGCTGGATCAGGGGAGGTCAAAGCGCCACATCCAGCTGTAGGCTGTGCTCCTGGTCATCAGCCCCACTATTTCTAGCCTCCTACAGCACCACCCCTGGCTGGGGCTGCACCCGGGGCGGCGCCCCCCCCCCCCCCCCCACACCAGCCCCCCACTGCACCAGCCCCACCTGGGATTGTACTCCCCACCACACCCACCCCACTGGCACTGCAGTCCCTATCGCCAGCTTAGCCCAGGCTGCACTTCTGAACCTGCCCAGCTGGGGCTCTCTGGTCCTGGTTTGTAGAGGTTCAGCCTATAATACACAGCAATATTTCACCACCACACTGAAGACCCTAACTCAGCAGTGGTTTTAAGATTTTAATTCCTTGGATCACTGAAGTGAAAGAAAAACATACTGATTGCATTTACCGTATATACTCGAGTATAAGCCGAGTTTTTCAGCACAGTTTTTGTGCTGAAAAATGCCCCCCTTGGCTTATACTCGAGTCAGAGAACTGAGGCTTTGCCAGAGCAAAGCCTCAGAGGCGCGGGGAACCGCCGCTGCTGCTGCTTCAATCTGGGAGCCTGTGGTCTGCTGGGGACCGTCCCCAGCAGACCACAGGCTCCCGGACTGAAGCCGCAGCCGCGGGGGGTCCCGCGCCTCTGAGGCTTTGCCAGAGCAAAGCCTCAGAGGCGCGGGGAACCGCCGCTGCTGCTGCTTCAATCTGGGAGCCTGTGGTCTGCTGGGGACCGTCCCCAGCAGACCACAGGCTCCCGGACTGAAGCCGCAGCCGCGGGGGGTCCCGCGCCTCTGAGGCTTTGTTCTGGCAAAGCCTCAGAAGCGCGGGAACCCGCCCGGTGCCCCTGGTCTGCTGGAGACGGTCTCCAGCAGACCAGGGGCACCGGAGCAGCTTTCGCCCCGACTTCCGGGGCTAGACCCGGTATCTATCTTCATTTTTTACATTTACCAGTAGCTGCCTCATTTCCTACCCTAGGCTTATACTCGAGTCAATACTTTTTCCCAGTTTTTTGGGGTAAAATTAGGTGCCTCGGCTTATATTCGGGTCGACTTATACTCGAGTATATGCGGTACTTACAGTGAAAATATAGAGTAACTCCATAGACTTCAGTGGAGTTGGTCTCAATTTATAGTTGTGATACTGGGATCAGCATGTAGGCAAAATTGTGCGATGGACAGAAGATTAGCTTTGTCTTTAATGGGCAGATGCAGAGAAAGTGACATTAGTACTGTGTATTTGTAGTATGTCCTCTACATATTAGATACTTAATGAAGCACAATTAAAAAACAGCTTCTGAGGAAGACCTGCATTCCAACAGAGAAAGTACCGTGAATCTAGGAAAAGATAAGCTACAGATTTCTTGTTTAGAGCATCCAGAGGCTCTAATCAGAAGCCATCCCCACTGTGGTAGGCAATCAGGAATAACCTCGTTGTGCTAGGCACACACCACAGACATCTCAGAACACGTTTCCTGCCGCTAACTAACTTAGAGGAAAGTTAGTAGCTCCCATGACAACCATGTGATCTTGGCCCACATTCTTGACGGTTGTAAAAAACCTCTACTAAAAAAGTTCAATCGATTTTTTTAAATTAAGCTTAAAAAGTTTTAATTAACTCTCCAATGTTTCCAATTTGTTAGAAAATAAAAAGATTGCTGAAATACAAAAGTAGCTAGAAGAGGAAGAATTAGAAAAAGAGGAGATTCATACAGATGTAAAGAAACATTATAGTGCTATTTCAGTCAGCTACACTATATCTGTAATCAAGGAATCAAGCTTTAGAACAGCCCTCAGGAAGACATGCAGTAGGGTTTGCTCTGATATCTAGTGATTTTGAATTTAGAGAGTTCAGCAATGATGAATGCACCCAAATTATTGGCTATCTATCTTTCCTATATTTCCTGTGAAGATGATACCAAAATGTCAAAGGACATCACCAATACCAGTTCAATAATATAAAAGCTTTGAAATTGAAAAATGAACTGTTCGTGATGACTGTGTCTTGGAAAAACACCAAAACTGTCATATCGTTTAAAATATATTAATACTTGTAGGCCCTAGCCCCACAGTAACTTTACTCAAACAAAGCATCTATTGATCTCAATGGTTAATTTGTCTAAGTAAGGACTGAAAGATGTGGCCAATACTTTCCTTTTCATTTTTATACTATTAAATATTGAAAAATGTCATGTTCAGTCTCATTTTTATTTACTTTTTTTTTTTTTTTGGCTATTACTCTGTGAATAACAAAGTGGTAGGACAGCCCAGGAAACCTTTTTGGTATTAAAAGGAGTATTCTAAAACATGTTAACATAAAACCATTATTTTGTGTAACAGTTTTGTATCTCTAAATGTTTAATCTGGATACTTTCTAATATCCTGGCACGTATGTGGCTACAAACACACAGCAGTGGATCTTACACAAATTCCAGATGAAGAATTATGTTAAGAGGAGGTTAAAGATTATAAGAAACCGAGTTTTTAAGACAATAGATTTTTTTCAATATTTTCCCTTTAAGGGAGGTGAAGCCAAACTGCCTTTTAAGAAAGATCATCTTATACTGAGGCAGAGAAAGGAGCACTATGAAATGCAGATGAATGGAGATGGTGGCCATGTTAGCCAGTGACAGGATGTGGCTTCAGTCCCTTTGGGAACAATGGGAGATGGTTTCTATATTGAAAAGGCCATCTTAACAGAAGGGCTACGTCTACATTGGCCCCTTTTCTGAAAGGGGCATGCTAATTTGACAGGTCGTAATAGGGAAATCCGCGGGGGATTTAAATATCCCCCACGGCATTTAAATAAAAATGTCCGCCGCTTTTTTCCGGCTTTTAGAAAAGCCGGAAAAGAGCGTCTACACTGGCCCCGATCCTCCGGAAAAAAGCCCTTTTCCGGAGATCTCTTATTCCTACTTTGAAGTAGACAAGGTGTATCCAAATACTTTCGGAAAAGGGGCCAATGTAGACGTAGCCACGGTGTATCCAAATACTTTTGAAGAAGACCATCAAATATAATAATGTTTTTTGGCTTGGTTAAGATGAAAATAAAGTTTTGTTGTTTCTAAAGAGAAACCATAACTTCACCTTGAGCAATATTTTGTGTCTGGTTCACAAATACTGATGCTCATCTCAGGGTACGTCTAGACTACAGGGTTTTGTCGACAAAGCAGCTTGCTTTGTTGACAGAACTGAAAGTGTCTAGACACTCTTTGTCGACAGAAGTTTTGTTGACAGATTCTGTCGACAAAACTTCTGTCGACAAAACCCTGTAGTCTAGACGTACCCTGAGATGAGCATCAGTATTTGTGAACCAGACACAAAATATTGCTCAAGGTGAAGTTATGGTTTCTCTTTAGAAACAACAAAACTTTATTTTCATCTTAACCAAGCCAAAAAACATTATTATATTTGATGGTCTTCTTCAAAAGTATTTGGATACACCGTGGCTACGTCTACATTGGCCCCTTTTGAGGTCATTGTTTTTTTATTAGCGCCACCAGCATATCATTTATATAAAAAACTTAAAATCTAAAATACATTTAGTGTACATGTTTCATATATAAACTGCTCTAATAATATGAGCAAACTATAAAATATCTGTAGAAAAATAAACATCTTAATTTGTATGAATATAGTTTAGTTTCACACTTTAAACATTTATAATCTGTACATAGTCTATGTATTTTGTTTACATATTTATAAAAAACAGTCTCAAATAGGATATAATTAAAATCTGGGTTTGCCTTATTTGACTGAATTCTGTCTTCTTCAAAACTTTTATTTACTTCAAAATGCCTTTAATCATTGAATTGTTACAATTTATGGTGTCCAAGAAGTGTATTTTTTATCTTACTGTTGAAAGCTAATATGACATCAAGTGTGCAGTCCTGTAGTTCGTTACATTTAGTGATCTGAAATTTAAGTGAAACAAAGATTCCATTAGATGTGGCAATCACAAGCATATTAGATTTAAAAATAACATTTGCTGAAACAAAACGAACTGGCTCCCGTCCTGCAACAGGATCCACAAGCATGGACCTAACACATATAGAAAGTCCCTCTGAGTTCAACAGGGCTCTGCGTGATGTGATAAAACATTGTTCATTACATTTTTTAAATGTTTATAAACTATGATTTTCATAGAATAAGCTTGGTCTCATTATTATCACCCAAAATGCTTGAGAAAGTAATAGCATGAGAAAATAAATTAGACTGTGTTCTTATATTACTCTGGGATGGAATACGTGGAGATAGTTTGCTATATTCCATTTTTCTCTCTAGCGCTTATATCAGAGGGTATACGTCTACACTTGCACCCTCTTTCGAAGGGTTTTCTCTCAGAATAACCACATCTTAACAGCGTCTTTTATTTCAAAATAGCGCCATAACACGATTATGAAAATGAACTGCGGGATATGTAAATCCCAGCTTCATTTGCAATTTTGATTTGTCTTCATTTGCATACCTCTATCGAAAGAGGGTGCAAGTGTAGACATACCCAGAGTGAATAATTCTTTCTATTTAGGTATTTCCAATTAACCCACCCTGACTGCATTTGGCAGCAACCAATGACACTTTACTACCAGTTACCTAACTTTAAAGTTTGAGGCCTAGTTTAAAAATATTTTTGTACCAAAATAATTATCTTGAAGGGATGTGACTTCTTACTGAAATAATTATATTATTAGAACTACCAGTGTGGACAGTTATAATAGTACAAAATTGCCTTATAAGGAAAGACAATTAAGATGTACTGGCAGGGGAGAGGAAGAATATTACATACTTTCATACTGAAATTTAAACAAAATCTAAATCACAAATGTGAAACACATTCCTATGTTTCAAATTTTCAAGAGTGTTCAGCTAACTTGGCACTCCCCTACAATGTTTCACACAACACAGGTATGTGAAAAAAATGTTAGTTGTGTTTGTATTTAAAGGATCTATCTGGAAATACTAAGTGAGTGTTCTTGAAAATGTTCTTCTAAAAGAATCTAAAGTAAACAATTAATTTTTTTATATACTGTGATTTCTTCAGTTTTGACAAGCGAGTATAGAAACCAAATATATTCTAAATATAAACAACATAACACAAGAACTTTCAGAAATGGAATGTCTATAAACATATGCTAAAAGAATGTTAACAATGCAAAGAAAAACACTAATGTGACTGTTAGATTCCCAATCTAAATACCCATGCAGGATGCACTGGCTTTGATCAGCCATTATTACAGGTTTTATATTGGCCACAGAGGGAACCAATTTTATTTCACATATACAACAGAAACAAAACATTGAGGGTATTTTAATAAGAATATCCCTGATTTCTGTAAATTGTATCAAGTGCAGAGGATAGCAAAGAATACAGCAGATCAATAATATCATATTGGGCAGCTTTCAAAAATCAATAGATATATATTTTGTTTTAAATTTATCTGAATATACAAAAGAATAGGAATGAATTCTGAAAATAAATTTAATCTATACATTTCTTACCCTTTTGTATCATTAACTAATTGTTCAAAAGTGCAAGAAATACTACTTTTATTTTTAAAAGTACAGGTTGTATCTCCTTGCTCCATCACCCTTGGGACCTGACTAGTCCCGAATCAGGGAATTTGCTGGACTGGGGTGTGTGTCAGTGCAATGGGGTGGCTTTTCCTTGGGCCCCCAGGGGTTCTTCTTTTCCCTAAGCAGCTCTACTGCCACCCAGGGCTCTTCTTTCCCCACAGTGCCTGGGAAAGGGTGCTCTACTTATCCCCCACAGCTTAGCTGCTGCTGAGGCTCCACTTCCCCACCAGGATTTCACTCTTCCTGCAGAGGCCAGGGACTCCACTTCTTTCCCCGGTGGCTTCACTGCTACCTAGGGCTCTGTGCTCCCGCTGGTGGCCGGGTGCTCCTCTTTGTCCCCAGAGGATCTACTGCCACCTAGGGGCTCCGCTACTGCCTGGTGGCTCCACGTTCCCCTCAGCAGCCCTGCTGCTGCCCGGCGACTCTACCAAGTGGCTCTGCTCCTCTCAGCGTTTGAGCTCCCCCCACTCCAGCATGCTGCTATGCCCCAGCTGTGCTGCTGTCCTCCACTGTGACAGGGAGTTACACCTCTCCTCCTCCCAGGGACCAGGGCTTCTACATTCCTCCTGAGGGCTCTGCTGCCCCCAGGGCTCCGTCTTGGCCCCCTAGGTTGGCAACGCTCCTGGCCCCAGGCCAATGGCTTATTGCCCTCAGTGCTCTCAAGGGGTGTCACCCAATGATGCTGGACAAGGGGTTTTGTCAGACCAGGGAACTCTGAATTATGGAGTTTTAACCTGTATTTTAAAAATTCGTATTCTTTTATAAAATATAAACATGAAATATACAAGTAAATGTAAAGTGCTCACTTTGAGACATTTAAAGCCATTATGCTTGTAGAAGGCCTGCTTTTTGATCCAGGAGGAAGGTGAAAAATCCTTCCTTCTTTATTAGTTGTGACAGGCTTAGAATATTTAACCACATAGGGGTAATCAAATGTTCCTGCTTTCATGCCCCCTGCCTGGGAAAAAATAGAGGAAAGATTAAAAGAGCTAACATATAATATAATTACTTTAATTATTTTTTCCATACAAAAATAACCCAGAACACTAGATGTACATATCAGAAAACCATATATCACATGTTTAAAGTAAACAGGTAACTGTTAAGAAAAATTAAATAATTATATAGGTGAACACTTGATTTAACAAATTCTTTTGTACATACCCTGGATTATGAGGAAAAATGTAAAGGGCATTCTAAAAAAATTAAAAGACCACCACTGGTTCCCATAAGTACAGCTCCACTGGTGCTGCCAACAGTGGAAACTGTTCTTTACGGCAGGGTTTAAGCATTATTATCAGCATGTTGCTTAGTCATTCCCAGAGCATTATATAATATGGTGGAAGACACACCATTGGCTGGTCTCTATCCTTCTCACACTTTTCTAGTTGGAGGGCTGATAAAGAAGGGCTGGTACCACCTGATTTCTAGCGCTCTCAGATTTGGGGGGCCCGTGTAGTTCTGTGTTCAGAAGAGTGATGGGGGAAGGGTTGCCCCAGCTGGACTCTCTCATTTTATTCCTACTGTTATGAGCTAGGTGAAATCTTGCTATAGCGTCAGTTAAAACCTCACTTCAGTTAACATAACTGTAAGAATAAATCCCCACCTAAAACAAAAGGTGTGTGTAAACCTGCCCAGGAGATTTTGGCTCAATATTATATGAATGTGTGAAGAGAGAGCACACAGAAAGTGAGGAGAGGCAAGGGAAAAGCGAAAAAGCCAAGCAGGAGTCTGTAAGCACAGCATGACTCTGGAAAAAGCCAGAGAGTGAGTTTTGGATTTGTTGTTCGCTAAAGAGGCTTGGGGCCTGTAAGCTAAAAAACTGCTCCTTTTATTCTTCTTCCATGTTCAGAGAGCTCGGATTTTGTTCATTCCTTCTAAAATACACTAGGAGTGTATCAAAGAAAATACCAGACTCCATTAATTTCTATTTCCAACTGGGACATCCCCAGGGCCCCAAACTTTGACTAGCTGCTCTGGTTGAAAAGGGACAATACTACATATCAATTTGATTAAAATTAGCACACAGCAATTGTTAAAATGTAGTTAGGTAAGGGGTTTTCAAGCCTTACAAGTTCTGCCCAGGGCCTTCGCCAGGATTTTCATTGGTGGTCTGTAGGGGAACCCATTCCCATCCTCTATCCTGGGTTCTAATCCAGTGCTCCTGTAGCAGGCAGTTAAGTTTGAGTTCTTCAGACCTCCTGCTTATTTCCTGGCTACCTACTGTGGCCTGCCTTTCTGCCTTCTCCAGGCCTCAAAGGCAAATTAATGAAAGAAAGACACAGTACAAAAGTAGTCCAAATGCAACCCTGGCCTCCTTGCTTTCAGGAGATACTCGACAAGCCGTAGCCTGGCTCAATGTCCTCCAGGATATTATTCCATGTTTACAGAAGGCCTCTGCCACCTTCATCTTCTGCAGTGCTACTTCCTAAGAAATAGTGGAAAGAGAGGTCTGCCCACCTCCCCACAGAAGGCTTTTCTGAATGGGTCTTCTCTCTTCTAAGCACATGGAGGACATGTCCCTCAAGAGAGGGGATTTTTGGGATAGGGTGCAATGAGGGGGAGAGGATGGGGCAGTCGTGGGAAGGGGTGGGGCTTGGAGCACAGGGATGGACACACGTATGCCAGGCTACAGGAACTCCTAGGCCAGATGGTAAAGCAAAAGGCTGTCCTCACAATTGTGATCACCATCCCATCCCCAAAGCTCCCACCCTGGACTCCACAGAGCAGGGTGCCACCACAAAGGGGATATTGCATTTGCTGAGTTCTAACCTAGTTAGTAGACAGCGGAACCTTCCCTTTAAATGCCCAAGAGCATATTCTGCCATCATTTTTCACTTGCTCAGCCTGTAGTTGAACTGCTCCTTACTGCGGTCAAGGCTGCCTGTGTACAGCTTCCTGAGCCACTGAAGCAAGAGGTAGGCTGGGTCACCAAGAATCACTATTGGCATTTCAACAACTCCGACTGTAATATTCTAGTCTGGGATAAAAGTTCCAGCATGCAGTTTGATGAAGAGGCAGGAGTTCCTAGAGATGCTCCCTTCCCGATCATCCCAGGTTGATATCAGTGAAACAGCCTTTGTGATCCACCAATGCCTTCAGTACCATCGAGAAGTACTCCTTGCTGTTTATGGACTCCTTTGCATGGTGGTCAGGTACATGGATGGGAGTGTGTGTTTCATCTATTACATCACCATTATTGGAGAACCCCAACCTGGCAAAACCCTGCACCACATCCTTCACATTTCCCAGAGTTACAACCTTCTGTAGCAGAAGGGTATTGATTGCCTTGGCTACTTGAATGGCATTGCAAGTTTTCATAGGGCAGCAGTTCCCAACCTTTTCCAGATGGGGACCCATTTTGACAAGTCAGGAAGACTTGGTGACCCAAGGCAATTCAAAAACTGGGGGGGGGGGGTGGAGGGAGAGAAGGGGTAGAGCCACCTGGGGAGACACTTGGCAACCCTTTTGAAATGTAATGGCGACCCATATTTGGGTCCTGACCCATAGGTTGGGAAACCCTGCCATAGGGTAACTGCCACTGTCAAGAGCAGGTCTCATTCTGGTATTCTGGTATTTCAGAGCAGGGGGAAACAATTTGCAAAATTCCATGGAAGTGGCCTTTTTCATGCAAAAGTTTTGTAGACACTGCTGATCATCCCGTACCTGCATAACAATACTATCCCACCAGTGTGTGCTTGCCCAACGGCACCAGAACCAGCATTCTACTGTGTCCAGATGATCAAATGCCAGGCGTATTTACAATTCGTCCAACTAAAGTGCTCCATAAAAGTGTGTGCTCATGGTCTTCTCAGAGTCTTCCTCATTCCAGTGGACCCTGAATATGCTCTAGACTTACTGAAGCATTAGGCACAGCAAGGTTAATGCTTTGATGCACAATGGGATCTATGGTATCTGCACAGATAACCAATACGAGAAAAAAGGGTGCAAAAAGATTGTTTGCCATTGGTCTACAGCAGGTGGGGAGGGAGGAAACAAGTGCATTATGGACCACTGACATGTACCCACAAGTACCCATTGCACAATTTGGTCCCAGCATGCACTGGGAGCATATCCCAGAATGCAAAGGGGCAGGTCCACAGTTCATCTCTCTCAAAGTTGACAGTAGCCACCCTACTGGGGACACATTATTTTGAACTACGTTAAATTCTTCCACACAGCTGGGAAACATACCTTCAACTTTACAAAATTGGGTACTAAAAAAATTTGACCTTAATAAATTTGACCTTATCTCTCAGTGTAGATATGGCCCAAGTTGACAGTGAGTTACTACAGCAATGGAAAAATCCCTTCTGTTGATATAATAACCTCCCCAACTATGCCATTGTAGCATAGATAAGCCCTGACATAAAACCTACTTTTAAATGCCTTTTTCCCTGGTAACAGGTTTGTATACCTCATCACAGGTTATCCATAGTTTCTGGTTTTGTATAGGGTCAAACTAGATTGCTTTGCAAATTATAATTACAGCTAACAAAACTCAATCATACCTTTCACACTTCTGATATCGGAGAACATTTCCAACAAGAGACCATGAGGTTGCATTATAAAATTAAAATTCAAAATTATCTCGACAAACTAAAGAAATGGTCTGAAGTAAGCAAGATGAAGTTCAAAAAAAAGACAAATACAAATACAAAGTACTCCTCTTGGGAAAAACAATCAGTTGCACACATCCAACATGGGAAATGACTGCCCAAGAAGAAGTACTGCATGAAAGGCTCCGGAGGGCAGTCATAGTGAAGCACAAGCTAAAACTCTGTACTTGATTCTGGAATGCATTAGCAGAAGCCTTGTAAGCAAGACATGAGAAGTAATTCTTCTACAGCAGGGTTTTCCAACCTATGGGTCAGGACCCAAATATGGGTCACCATTACATTTCAAAAGGGTTGCCAAGTGTCTCCCCAGGTGGCTCTGCCCCTTCTCTTCCCCCCCGTTTTTGAATTGCCTTGGGTCACCAAGTCTTCCTGACTTGTCAAAATGGGTCCCCATCTGGAAAAGGTTGGGAACCGCTGTTCTATAGGTTGGACCTCCCTGTTCCAGCACCCTGGACCTGGGTGGGCCCAGATGAGGGATTTTGCTAAACATGGGGAGGTCATTTCTGGGCCCCCTGCCACCAGCCTTGCCTTGTCAACTCCCCACCTGCTCCACCAGGGGGGCCTGGACCCACAGGGCAACTGTGCACTAGGGCTCCTACCCCACTTGGGCAGCTGTGTGCCAAAGGTCCAGGCCCCACTGGGCAGCCGCTGCTGACACTGCCTCCCAGACCTGCCAGGCAGCCAGGCACCGAGTCTCCCAATCTCACTGGACAGCCCTGCTACCATGCACAGCCCTACCTTGCTGCTGGCCCTCCACCAGAACTCTCTGGTCCTGCAACATCCATGCCAGACCACAGATGCTGCCAGATCAGAGAGTCCCAGTTTAGAGAGTTCAACCTGTACTCCTCTGTGAGCTGATAAGGGTAGAGTATTTTGTCCAGTTCTAGGTGCCACATTTCAGGAAACATGGACAAACTGAAGAAAGTCCAGAGGAGAGCAACAACAATTATTAAAGGTCTAGAAAATACGTTCTATGAGAAAAAGAGAAAAAAAACGGAGTTGTCTATTCTGGAGAAGAGAAAACAGAGAGGACATAACAGTGTCCAAGTAAATAAAAGCCTTTTACCAGGAGGAAGAAAAATTGTAGTCATTAGCCCCTGAAGACAGGACAAGAAGCAATGGGCTTAAGTTGCAGTAAGAGAGGTTTAAGTTGCACATTAGGGGAAAAACTTGTCAGGTGGTTAAGCCAGAGCAGGACCACAACATTTTGGCACCTGAGGTGGGTAGCTCAAATGCCCCATGCCCCCTCGATTGGGACAAAACTTTCAAAGGTCTCAATTCTGCCTTCTTCCTGTTCTACTCCTCTCATGGTACTGCGCTGCTATCTCTGTGCATCTAGAGCAGAGAGAATACATATGCACCAGCAGCAGACACAATTTTCTATGCTCTGGGTCCTAGTGGCACCCCTCTCCTCTCCCCACAGTCTGGCACCTGAGGCAGCTGCCTCAGTTCGCCTCATGGTAAAGCCAGCTCTGGGTTAAGCACTGGAACAAATTCCTAGGAAGGTTGTGAAATCTCTGTCATCAGATGTTTTTTTTTTAAGAACTGGTTGGAAAGACACCAGTCAGGAATGTTCTAGTAATTACTTAGTCCTGTTTTGAATGCAGGTTACTAGGACTAAATGGTCTACTGAAGTTCCTTCCAGTCTTATGCTTCTAAGATTCACTTCTATTATGGATTTTAGAGGCCTTATTTTACAGTTGGTGTCATAGAACAAAATAGCATTCTCAACATACTGAGGTTCAACTGAAGCAGCAGCAGACTTTATCCAGAGAAAAATACCTATTGGGATATAGAACAAGGAAGCTATTGCACTGCTCAAATACAGACTTGCTGAATTTTTAGATAGTCTGTGTAGGGAGCTTCTGGTGTGCTGAGACCAGTAGGGTATTAATTATGCTCATTTAATTACAAGTCCTGAACAGGTTCCATGAGTTTCTTACAGCAGGAAGAAGCAATAAGACTTTTTAATACCTACTTCTACATCAGAGCTAAAATAGCTCACTTGTTCATTAATTACACGTCCTGAACAGTACACTGATTAGAAAAAGATTTAACTGCTTTAAAAAGTAATTTTACAGCCTGATTCTGCAGCCCTATTCACCTTGGTCAGTGAGCACTTACTCATGTCTAAGACTAAGAAATCTGTGAGGGTTTGATTAAAAATTTGCAGTTTGTTTAAGTTGTGATTCAAATTGTGCAGCCTACTTTGCAAAACATGGCAAAACAGAAGAGACACTGTATGTCCTAATCAGTTCTCAAAGACAAGCATAACAGAGATGTGGCCAGATCAAATGTAAGTGTCACTGCAACCCCACAATGCCACTCACTAATATGTTGCCCATTTTCCCCCTCCATCGTCTCAGTACAAATGTGAAGGAGTGGCTTGCCACCTGGTGCACAGGCTCAATACCATTCAAATTTGCAACAACTATAAATTGTTGCAGATTCCAAAACAAAATCTTGGTCTTTGATTTTCTTAGCATTGGAACAAATTGCCCAGGAAAGCTATGGAATCTCCATTTCTTGGAGACTTTTAAAAAAAGATTAGACAAATACCTGTTTGGAATGGTCTGATTATTGCATAGTCCTGTTTTGAGTGCAGGGGATTCAAAACTACTGAGGTCTTTAGCAGTCCTGCCCATCTCAGTTTTTTGCTTTAATACAATATGATTAAACTTTCGACATGAACAACATCAATTAGTTGTATTTTCACTTTCTGCTTTAGTAGGTAGAGAGCAGACTCACTTTTTTGGCAGGAGAAGTTGGTTTAAAGGGGTGTATAGGTGGCTTTTCTGAGGCTGGTTTCTTAGCTGGTGGCAAAGGTTTTTCATTGTAATATGGATTTCCGTCAAAATACTCCCGAGGGTAGAGATTTAACTTGAAAGGCCCTCCTTTAACCAAGCGCATATGGTCTTCACGGACCTTCTGTAAAATAAGTAGCTTTGAAGATATCAGGTTGGGCATTTTTACCTCAGATTATTCTAATTAGAAAAAATAAAAAGAGTCTTGAAAAATATAACATTCAAGAATGTATTTAATGTAATTTCCTCTGCTTGTGCTTAATGTAGAAATCAGGATTCACATAACATAATGCATAATGAACCATTGAGCACAACAAATACTAGGAAACTATGACACACTTAAAGAATTTATGGACTTGTTAAAATAAGTACATTTTAAAATTCTAAGTTCGCAAATTAATTAATTAATTAATTAATGGCACATGGATATACTTTAATATTACAACTACAGTATTACCTTGCTAATTCATGCTAATGATGGGTAGCAAATTTTCACTGCTTAATAAGAAACAAATATTGCCCTCTTCTTCAGGGCAGAGAACGTATGTGGCAAGCAAAACAAAATGATGTGCTTCTACTACATGAGAAGAAGGCGGGATTTGGGGAGCTATACAATTGATTGTATACCTTTTTAATTGAAATTTACAGCTTCCAAAATGTTCCCTATTAACAACCCAGGAGATTAGATCCTTTACTTAGCATCCAGCTTCACTACAATGTAGGATTGCCAGATGGTTTCTGAAAAACTACCCAAAAAAAAAAAAAAGGACTCAGAGTTGTTAAGCGTGGCGCCTTTAAAAAACGCATGGTGAGGTTTTTTTAGGCACTAGCAGGCTGCCGGCAGCCACTCGCCATCTTGCCTCCCTGCACAGGGCCAGACAGTTCCCCTGCAGAACCTGGTAAGCACTACGGTTGCCAGGATGCCTCCGTATTGACCCAGACATGCTGGGATTTTTGCGTCCTCTCCAGGAAAAAAAAAAAATCAGAAAATACAGGACATTTTAGGTGCCCAGTATTTTCTGAATTTTTTTTACCAGACAGGAGGTGAAAATACTGAACTGTCTGGTTCAATACCGGACACCTGGCAACCCTACTACAATGACTGGCTGACTTACAGAGATCAGCCACTTCTAAGGCCAGGAGAAAACTTCACTCTCTAATTCCATTCAGTCCCTGATACTTATCTTTTGTGTTTTATTTGAAGATCTAAGCAAAGAACTTGTGTGGGGACCACCACAATATGGTGACTGTATGGAACTTAGGACTTGTCTTCATTACTGCAGCTGCATCTGGTTAAGGTGTATTACATCAATGGGGGAGTATTCTCCCATCGACATAATTACTTCACCTCCATGAGAGGTGGAAGCTATGTCAGTGAGAGAGAGTCTCCTGCCAACACAGAATGGTTGCTTAATTGTTTTAAGCCAATGTAATGTACATCAGTCAAGTGGGTAGTTTTTCACACCTATGAATGACATATGTTACATCAACTTAAGCAGTAATATAGACAAGTTCTTAGTCATTCTGGATAGCTCCTCTCTTATTTGTAGTCATACTTGTATTATGTTACTTACCTCTAATCTGAGATAAGCCCCACACAAACCCTAAAATCTAGACACTCTCAGACTTCAGAGTTCAGTTCTGGATCTGAACTTTCAAATTGGTCTGAATTACCACAAAAATTTGAAATGGGTAATTTAAACCTAGAAAACATTAACCTTTTTAACCAAAAGGTTAGTAGCAATAAAATCCCATTCCTGATTATGAAACCTACCATGCCATATGTTTTCCCCACTCCAAATCTCAATTTCACTCCAAACAGACATTAATTGGTGATAAAAATATATAGTTCTAAAATAATTATTCCTTTGGCACAAAAAAAAAAAAAAGTCTTCAGCTATCATTTCCACCTGCACATGATGAATGAAGTCTCATATTTATTATGTTATATAGTGAAATACAGAGGATATGCTCCATGTTTGTAAAGGCCTAATAAAATAAGAGTCCCAATCCAAGACTGGGGTTCCTTAGAGTTGCCACAATACAAATAAAAAAAATAAAAATAATTTGGGTCTGTCTCAGAATTTTATACTTTGGGTTAAATCTTTAGCTTATTGCAGAGGCTTAGTAATAGGACTGTGTGCTGGGGTGACTAAGAGGGAAAGGTAACCAAACATATTATTTATAATTTTTTAATGAAGATAAATTATCTTATCTATAGTCCCATTGATAAATAAATAACTACTGGTTGCTCTAGGCTGAAAGAAAAAAAACATAGGAAAGGTAAAGTGTTTGCAAATAAAGTTACTGAATAATTTTACCTTTGCATTCATTTTTCCAGTATCATACATTTCACTTGAGTGTTGATACTGTTTACCTATGGTAAGATTTGGATATCTGTGTAAAGAAAATTAGTAATGGTGACCAAAAATTCAGCATTTGATTACATTCTGTTCAGGAAATTATGCTGACTGTTTTACCCATATCCAGTTCCTTTTTTTCCAGGGTTTGTGTAAAGATTCTTTCCAGGAGGAGCATATACTGATTTTCCTCTTAATTGTGCACTGAAGGCTGGATATGGACCACCTATAGTTCCATAATAAGTGCCTATTCCACATCTGAAAAATAAAATAAATACATAATACAATAATTATTGTCAATAATAATACATTAATAAATTAGTACCCATTCTGTGCTTTACAGCTTCAATGTTCTGAAATGATATTAACTGAAAGACAAGCAACCTGCATTTTTGGAGCAAACATTTTAAATTTGAGGTTTTGTCCTTTCCGCATGTACAACAATGAACCTATGTACAATATAGCAAACGGGAGTGGATGGGGACAGAGTTAAAGTTTTAGGGTATCTTAGCTATACATATCCACATTTGCCAACGTTTGGCTTTTGGTTTATTTCTTTAAATTTTCTCTTAAAATGTTCCTGCTTTCTATTTTTTTTTTAAATGTCAACCTTCTGCTAAGGGTATATTTAGATCATTGTAATTATATTTTACCATATTATTTTGTACTTGCATATGTAACTAGCATTGCTCAGGTATTTAACTGAAATATTTAAAAAAAAATGAAAAATGTACATGCTTTATTTCAATGACTATTTTTTTTTTTTAAATGAAGGAAAATGAAGGCTGGAGTAAGGATTCAGGGATAAGGAGAGGCAAGGGGAAGGTGACTTAGGGCAGAGGGTTGGGAGGTTTGGGGGGCTCAAGGCAGGAGATAAGGGCCTCAGGGCAGGGAAAAAGGAGGTAGAGGGGCTCAGGAGGAAAAAGGGGAAAAAATCAGGGGGGAGGTGCAGGACTCAGGGCGGGGGATGGGAGGTAGACGGGGGACTTACCGGTGCCACCTCTGGCGGTGAAGGTGGCAATGCTCCGGCAACAGCTCCTCCCAGAGGGCCATGGCAGTGCTCCCCAGCCTGCAGCTCCTTCAGAGGGGCCAGGGCTGCACTCCCCGGAGGGCAGCTCCTCCCAGGAGGGGGGAGATCTGGGTCTGTGCACTTGTCAGATGGGAGTTCGTGCTTTGCTGGCCAGGCTTATCGGTTAATCATTTACACAAATATACACTAACATCCCTATCACCTACCCATATTCTGCCCATCAAATATAGCACAGGCATAAATATACCAATTCCTACATCCCCATTATGGCTTCTCAACTGTCAATGAATAGTTCCCCATGCGCCCTTCATGGGTCAACCCTACAGGCTCCTAGAATCATCTAATTTCCAACCTCTCCATTGGAGGGGATATGGTAGGAGGCTGATCTACTTTGCATTGGAGACACGGTAGATTCGGAATGCCATGAAGGAAAGGGACATAAGGCTGGCTTAAAACCACCAGCTTTATATAACAGACACAGCTTGAACACAGGCCAGGATCTGGGCCTACTACTTCATTGTGATCAGGGTTCCCTGTAAGGTGCATGCCTATGCAAGTGCACACCAAGATTTTAGTCCCGCCCACATCCTCAGCAGGATTGCACAGTGGCTGCTCAACTGCTACAGGGTGGGGCCATGTGGCAAGCAGCTGCCCTGCCCCAGGCCCTAGTTTCAGTCCTTCCCCAGGGCTGGAGCTCTGGCCAGGGTGAGCTGTGTGGCAGGCGGCAGTGGTTTTCCGAGGGTTGGGGCCAGAGCCACTGCATGGTGTGCAGTGGCAGCTTCAGCAGATGCGGCTGGAGCTGCATGGCCCCCAAACCTATCCCCCTGGCTCTGGTTGCAGCCCCAGCCAGAAGAGCAGCCCTTGCTAGCAACCCTAGACCCTTACCCCAGGAGCTACTGGCCAGCCAGCTGGAAGCACTGGGGAGCGCAGTCCCAGCTCCCCCTTTGTCCACCGATTGAGGAAGCTAGCAGTCCAGCCCCAGCCCTTCCTCCCCTGAACAGCTAGCTGCTGGCTGGCCAGAGGTTGGGCAGCCCAGCTCCGTTTCCCCCCGCCCCAGCAGCAACCTCCTGGAGGGATGTGCATCCCAGTCCTGGGCCCACCTCTGCAAGGAACCACCAGAGGAGTAGGCAGTCCAGGTCCAGCCCCCCCAACAAGGAGCTGCCTCCTCCCCAACCTCTGGTCCTGGGAGACCCGGTATACTCTTTGTTCCCATGGCCCATGAAGCCTCACATGGGAAGCCTGTACAGCAGCAAGGAGCACTTCACCAACAGGCAGAGCTGGTGCACAATGAATGTGGAATATGCATTTGGCAGATTAAAAGCACACTGGTGCTGCCTTTTTGGCAAGGTGCAGCTAAATGAGAGAGGTATTTCCATGATCATAGAAGCCTTCTGTGTGCTGCATAATATTTGTGAGGTCAAGAGTCAATCCTCCAGGGCAGTGGTTCCCAACCTTTTTTTAATACCATGGACGGACAAACCTTTGGCAGACGAGTAACATTTTATTTGCACATTCATTATTTGCATAATGAATATGCAAACATGCATATAAATTGTTGCCTGTCCACCAAACGTTTGTGAATGGATTTGCCAGTGCACTGTATAAAAAAGGTTGGGAACCTCTGATTTAGTTCAGTCTCCTGCTCAAAGCAGGACCAGTTCCAACTAAGTCATCCTAGCCTGGCCTTAAAAAGCTCTAAGGGTGGAGATTCCACAACCTCCTTAGGTAACTCATCCCAGTGTTTCACCACCCTCCTAGTGAATTAATTTTTCCAAATATCCAATCTAGACCTCCTCTGTAGCAACTGGAGACCATTGCTTCTTGTTCTGTCACTCATTTCCCTCGATTTACTGGCAAGGCTCCTACTAATGCAGCCCAATATGCCATTAGCTTTCTTGGCAACAAGGGCACACTGTTGACTCATATCCAGCTTCTCATCTATTGGAATCGCAATGTCAAAGGCACTGTGGATTATTTATGTCTCCACATCCTGTGACCAACTTGGTCTTAGAGATGTTTCAACAGGTGGTACTTTCATCCTGTGGTGCCCAACTCTCTCCAGCACTATAGGCTACTCATGCTATAATATCAGGTATTATAAAAACGCCAAGTTAATGGACTTTTGGCGCTGGAAATAGAGAAATTTTGGATAGTTGATTCTACTACAGGTTGGACCTCCCCGGTCTGGCACCTTCAGCACCTGAGCTGTCCTGGACCAGGGATTTTGCCAAGCCAGGGGAGGTCAGTGCTCCCCTGCTAGCTGCCCCATTCCTGGGCTCCTCTCCCTACTGCTCTCTGCCCTGCCACTAGTCCCACTAAATCAGGCCCACCATAGCTCCCCGCCTTGCTGCCCCGCCCGCTTCCCAAGGGTCCCTTGGGGTGCCCGGTGGGAACTGCTTGGCTGCTGCCAATCCTGCTGCTGCAGGGTGTTCCCTGAAGTTCCTAGCTGGGAGTACCCAGCCACCACCAGTGGTTCCCTAGCTGGAGCTGCCCGGCCACCCTGTCCTGCTGCCACTGGGGATTCCAGTCTCTCACCTCCAACAATCCTGCTTCAGCTGGGGGTTCCCTGGTGGAGGCTGCCCAATCACCCTAACCCCACTGCCACTGGGGGTTTCTTGGGATTCCTCACTGGGACTGCCTGGCTGCAGGCAGCCCAGCTGCAGTCTAGGGTTCCCAGGGTTATGTGGCCCAGTAATGCCGGGGGTTCCCTGGCCGGGGCTGGGACTCCCCAGCCACCACCAGGCCCCATTGATGCTGGGGGTTCCCCAGATGCTGCCTGGCCCAGCTGAGGCTCCCCAAACTTTCCATTGCTCCGGGGCTCTTTGGTCCAGCATCATCCCTGGCTCTGCCAGATCATGGATGTTGCTGGACCAGAGAATCCCGGATTTGGGATGTTCAACCTGTAGTCCCATTTCCCATGATACAGTACTATTAGCTTGACACAATATTCCACTGCAGATCTTTAATGTCTCTCTTTCTAGGTTTATGTTGGTTATCACATGTATGGAAGGCAATACTGTGTTTTAATACCGCTTTTTAAAATTTGTACATATGTTCTCATAAAAAACGATACTGTATTTTGGTTGACAGTTAACCTTTTTTTAATAAAAGTTGTGATGAATTATTTTTTATACAGCAGGAAAAAAAAACAAAAAGATGACTTTCCTGATACTTACGGTAATTTGACTCCATTGCTTGGAAGGAAAGCTTTCCCCATATTTTTCTTTGACTCTGCCAATCTGTATCGCCTTCTTAGTTGCACTGGGTTTGAGTAGGCTTCACCTTCGAAAACCCTCACAAACTGAGGCTCAAAATAACCTGCCTGAAGAGCGGACATCATTTTGGTACCCCCAGGTAACAGCTGTTTGTTCTTGCTTGCAGATTCATTGAAAGGGCCTTTAAAATAGGTAAGCATTGTAAAAATTAATTTAACTCTACAAATTCTCTCAATTTAAAATTAGAAATTAAAAATGAAGGCTGGGTCTGGATGGTTCAAAGGATAATGTAATACAGAACCTTTCACCAATAAGTAATCTGTGCAGGTTTGTAGTGTCTGATTGCTGATGCTATATGGCAGCTGTTCAATAACCTAATATATGGAAAATGAATTAATTGACTCAGGTCAGGTTAGTAGTGGCATGCCTCCATAATACAACATACCATTGCAATTAGCATCTTTTGGAAGGAGGCCATAACTATTCTGCGCTAACGTTTAGCATTATTTAACAGTATAACATGATCCAATGGCTGGAAATTGAATCTAGAAAAAAATCAGACTGGAAATAAAGCATGATCTTTTAAGTGAGTAATTTACCAAGGGTAATGATGGATTCTTGATCATGGACAATTTTTAAATCAAGCTTGGATATTTTGCTAAAAGATATGTTTTAGAAATTCTTTTGAGACAGTTGTATGGTCAGTGTTACAAAGGAAGTTAAACAAAATTATCATAATTGTCTCTTCTGATCAAACTCTGTCATCCTTACTCATCATGAGTAATACCTTGAGCAGTTCCAACAAACAAGAGTGAGGATGAAAGAACCCAGCCCTAAGTAATAAATTAAAAAAAAAAAAATCAATCTCTTATCCACAATGGTCAGCTAAAGCAAAGAAATAAAAAGTTACCACTAAATGTAAAATAACAGAAGTGCCAGCTGGAGCAGCTACACAGAAAAAATTACCTGCTCTCATCACCAGCAGCGGGTAGTCAGATGTCACGATCAGATAAGGATTTTCATAATGTCAGTTCAGTTTTAACATGACAAAATTTAAAACAAAGATAGCTGAGGAGAAAAACTGTGGAGCAATTTATGGTTGCATTACGTTATCATATTAAAACTGTTCTGCCATTGACTCTCCTAAAATAATATTAAAAATAATTAAGATATTTGCATCTTGACTGAGTTAAGAAAAATGGGACACCAATTGTCTTGTTTTCAGTATAAGTGGGACAGTTTCAAAGAAACGATTAAATGCTATACATACCTTATAAAGTAATCTAGTTTACCTGGTTAGTCTCAAGAGTTCCATAAATTTTAAATGAAACCCTAATTTTATATAATTAACAGGCTATATACATTTTTCAAAACTCATAACTATTCATTTAAAATCTGAGTTATAAGGACCATATACATAAAAAATATGCTGCCCTACTTTGGGACATTCAAAACTTGTGAGTTGACATTTCCAAGGGAAAGAATGCCTAGTATGGAAGGCCAAATGAAAAAGAGTTTTTGTACGATCACAAAAGCCTAAATGTAAATCCACTTGCAATATCACTTCAGGGACCAGCTACCACCATCTATATTCCATAGTGTGGTGAAAAGAAGCCACACCATGAGGTACAGATCTCAGTTATGGTAGACAAGGAGAATGAGTCACTGCAGATAACCTACTCCACAGCAGCAGGTGGGTACAGATACAACAGTAATTTCAATGATATATTTTATCTATAACTTGAACAAAATGCTGCATGTATTTTTATTAATCTTAATGAATTAATATTAGTCAAGTTTTACCTTTTTATTCTCTTTCATTTATTGTGACTAAGGCTGCGAGTTTGTCATAGAGATCATAGAAGTTTACCAGGTCCCCCAAGACATCTGCAAAGGCTGGAAATTGGATCTCAGGATGGGGTAAGGTCTCCCGGAGGCACTTACTTCAGGGAGGATCCGCTCAAGCAATGACATGTTCTTTGGCTCCTAGGCAGAGGTGCAGCCAGATGGTTCTGTCTGCTGCTACTACCTGCAGGCATCCCCTTTATAGCTCTCACTGGCCACCATTCCCAGCCAATGGGAGCTGCAGAGCCAGCATTCGAGGCAAGAGCAGTGCATAGACTCTCCCAGCCATCCCTCCTTCTAGAAGCTAAGGGAAGGACATATTGCTGCTTCCAGAGAGACACAAAGAGCCAGATAGAGACCTCTCCAACCCCATCAACTCTCAAACTCCAGTGGGGGTCATAAACTGAGTACCACTGCCTCCCCTAAAAACCCATTACACCCCTAGGTGTCTTGCCCCCCCACCCGGTACCTGTCATGTCATCCCAAGTTGCATCACCTCCTGGATTGCACACTCCTCTGCCCCCAAACACCTTCCCTGACCCCAAGTCTTGTCTCCCCCCTACCCTGAGTACTTGCCACAAGATCAGATTGTGTGCCTCTCCACCTAGAGCACCCACTGCGCCCCGGATTGTGCACCCACCTCCAGAGTACCTGCCATTCCCCCAGGTTACATGCTGCCTCCTTAGAATACTCACAGAGTGCCCACTGCAACCTCCAGGTTGTGCCCTCACCAAATACCCACTGTGCCCCTGAATTGCTCAGGTGGAGGCAATACACAACCACCGGGTTGCATCATTCCCCTCCCCCCCAAAGCACCCGGAGCACCCAAGATTTAAACAGGAGTATATAGGACAAGTCATGGGCTGTGAAGTTTTGTTTTCTGCACATGACCTGTCCATGACTTTTACTAAAATACCCATGACTAATATGAAGCCTTAATTGCGACATATTAAGCAGACCTCTATTAATAATTGATTATGCCACATTGAGCATAAAAAACAACTACAAACTCATGGGTCTCTAAAAGACTAATAGAAAACAGGGACTCATAGAACACAGATAGACGGATACTGGAAATGTCATTATTGCTAAAATGAAATGTACTTACGCATATAGTTTGAAACATATTTATCTCCAATGGTAATATACTCCATTTCACTGAAGAGGCCAATCCTCTCCATGTCAGATTTTCCTTCTGCCGGCATGGTTGGTTCTGCGTGACAGTTCACTACTCTAGAAAATGTAGATGTTTCTTATGCTCACTTGTTTCACTGTAAAAAAAAAAAAAAAAAGAGTACACTAAAGCTACAACCAAAGTTTGAGCATTTAAAATAAATGTGCAGCTCTGGAATTTTGTAACTAATAAGTCAGTTAATTATTATGAATGTATGTTATAGCAAAAGGTTTGGATTAAACTTAAATGCAAGATGTAGGTTTCAAACAGGCCAGGCAGCTTTGTTAACTTAGCTCCAGCTCTGTTTGATGTTTGAATATTGAAGTAAAGAGACGGACTATTGTGATGTTAATATTAGGCAAGGCCTTGTAATAAATAAAAAGAAGTTTAATGTTGAAAGACTTTGTAACTTTGTTAAAGTAACTAGAAGTACCCCTTTGTTCCATGCTGCAATTCTGTAAATTTATTGTTTATGTGAATAAGAGAGAGAATTTTTTAGGAGAGATAAGTGTGAAGGCCACTGCATGCTCAAATGGTCAGAGGAGGCGCCGAAGCCTCAGAAGCACCAAATAATTATCAACTAAGTGAAAGCACACTGAAGACACAGACTACCGGGGCAGACTGATGAACCCTGAAATTAGTGGCAAGCACCCCTTGATAGGGAACTGACGACAACTTTCTCCAGAAAGACAAACACCTCCGAGGGGTCGTCAGCATGTGGATATCAAATGACTGTGAGAACAACTTCTTCCTGATAAGCATATGTCGCAGGAAGATTGATTGTGATGCTGCGTCACTAATGCATGACAAAGCAAAATGTATAGACTTTCATGGAAGGAAAATCCTATAAAGGATGGGGTGTCTTGTATGGTTCTTCAGGTTCCCGTCCTGCTAAAACTATGAAGCATCAGTCTGGACTGACAAGAACTTGGCTCCTTCCTCACACCCAACCTACCTGGCCATTAGGTTGGGCCAAGCAACAAACTGGTAACTATTCCATCGGGGGTGGGGGAGGTGTAAGTAAATGCATATGCTATTGTTATATTATCAATAAATGCAGCGTGTTGCCTTATCCCCCTGAAAAAGACCCCATGTGTTTCTTTTAAGCATAACAGATGTACCAGTATGGCACTAAGATTCTTTGGTTCAAAAATACTAGCACTCAGTTCCTTTATGTTTCTATAGTATTCAGCATGTAACACTATCCATAAAGTAAGTCATAGCTGGGATGATGATGGAGAAGAGGACTGAACTAGACTGCATGGGTGAGAATCAACAATATCACATGCCCATTGAAAAGCAAATTTAAAACTAATATGAGACAGAGGCCCACATTCATCTGTGATGTAAGTGAATTCAAATCTTATTAAAGCCTCTGGATCAGAATTTGGTAATGAATACCCTTAAAATACTGAGATCACTGATCTGAGTGGTGCAGATACAGTAATTAAGATAGCACCTCTTTTATCTTTCTAGATTACCTTCAGCTGTGCTTTACTATCAACCTTGGTTAACAGTGGGCAGAGGTAATGCAAGGAGGTATAAGCAAGGGATCTGAACAGTAACTTATGTACGGCCCCGGGAATATAAGGATACATGATGTAGTAACCTAAAGAATGATATTGAGAAGTGCTGAACACCTACAATTCCCACTGACTTAAAAATTGTACATGATTAATGCACAGCTCAGCTCTGGAAAATTCCCCTAAACAGATATAATATATATATATATACACACGTGCTTAGTCTTTTTGTAACTTTTCAATGTACATTTTACCTACCTCTCAAGGATATTGAGCTGCAGAAGTGCACTGTAAGGAAAGTAAAAAGCTACTGTTAAATGATGCAGTCAATTACATAAACACACAAATATAATTGCATCAGATTGTATGTATGTAAATATATTTGCATAAACATAATTACATCAGCGTATGCATAATCAATGCATAAATATTAACACATTTCATATGTGCATAATTAACCAATTTGCAGGAAATCTTCATTAACTGGACAGTAATGACTGGTTTTTAATTACAGTAGTTGAAGTGAGACACACAGAGGGGGGCAATCTGCAGCACACGACTTAAGGAGAAATCACTGCACTGCTGATTTCTGACGTACCTCACCACCCCACCCCGGCCAGGTGTGTTGCTGAGCCTCAGCAGCAGCCTCCTCCTACTCCCCGCATCTCCAGGCGGCGGCAGCTTCTGCGAGGTCTGGCCGGGACTCTGTCCAGGGCTCTTTGTTGATGCAGTTGCTCTGGATTCGGGAGAGCCCAACAAGACATGAAGGGACCGACATTTCACCGCTGTCTGTCAAACCCTGTTGGTATAATCCAGAAGCAGCACGCACCGCGCGTTTTCGCGCTGCATCTTGGGAATTGTAGTCCCCTCTTCTCTAGCCTCCAGCCAGCGCCTTCGCTCACATGACCAGCACCGGCGTTCCCGGCCTGTCACCTCTCCCTTGCCGGAGTGACACGTTAGGCTTTGCAGCGCGGGCCAGGAACGCTGCTTGTTCCAACGCCGCGCCGGCCTGGGCGTGGGGCGCGCGCGGACTATGAGCACGGCGCTGACAGACGTGGTGAGTCCGCGCCGCTGGGCGCGTTAAACAGAGCGGGCCGGGGCGCTGCCGCTGTGCGGGGAGGGGGCAGCTGGGCTCAGCTCAGGCTGGGAGCTGCCCTCTTCGTGGCGCTCGTCGTCAGCGCTGCCTGACCCCGCCCCCGCGCCACTTGCTGCAGCTCGGGGCCACCCTGGGGCCGGGACCCGGGCAGCCCGTAGCTACGTCCGCCCCGCCCCTCTGGGAGCCCGCCTGGGTCCGTGCCGGGTAACGGCCCGCGGGTCCTCGCGCCGTGTGTCCCTGCAGGCCGCCTGGCCTGGGGAGAAAGCGGGGCCGGGCTACATCGCGTTCCCCGGGCCCTCCTGGCGCTGATGTTACAGGCCCTGGGGGTGGGGTGGGATTGGCCTCCCTACTGTCCAGCTCTGGCCGCCGGGGAGAGGGGAACCGACTCCCTAGGAGGGGAGGGGATTTGACGAAGGGCTTGTGGGAGCCTGTGTCTCAGCCGGCAACTCGCCTCGTTCTCCTGAGTCCCCGTCCAGTGCTCTGCCAGCCAAGCCCGGCATTGTGCCAAGCAGCTCCTGTAATATGCTTCTCAGAAGCCACTTACTTTCCAGCACTGTCCTCCAGTTGTCCGCTTCCTCGCTGTCCTGTAAGCATCTAATGTACAACGCCTGGTCCCCCAGGCAGCCCCTTTGACTTCAGAAACCTGTAAGGCTCTGCCAGGCTTCATACGCTAGGAACTCCTCAAGACAGATTTTGCCATATGACACATTAGAGAGTGCATTGTGCACCTAGTAGCATCTAAACGTGTGTTGCTGACTCCACTGTTGAAATAAATTGTGCTAAAGGTCCAAATTTTTAAGGATTTTTAAAATAGCCACCAATGTAACAAACATGTGGGCTGTGTATAGATTGGCAAGTTTTTTCTGGAAAATCATCTGCTTTTCCGGAAATACTTGCCAGCTGTCTACACTGGCCGCTTGAATTTCCGGAAAAGCACTGACTCTCATGTAAAATCATCAGTGCTTTTCCAGAAAAACTATGCTGCTCCCGTTTGGGCAAAAGTCTTTTTCTGAAAGACTTTTGCACAAAAGGGCCAGTGTAGACAGCATAGTACTGTTTCTGCAAAAAAAGCCCCGATCGTGAAAAAGGTGATCGGGGCTTTTTTGCAAAAAACCGTGTCTAGATGGGCCATGGACGCTTTTCCGCAAAAAGTGCTTTTGCGGAAAAGCATCCTGCCAATCTAGACATGCTTTTCCAAAAATGCTTTTAATGGAAAACTTTTCCGTTAAAAGCATTTTCGGAAATTCATGCCAGTGTAGACATAGCCGTAAGTTAGATGTAGCTTTATTAAGAAGTTTACTTTATTGGGCGGGTCCATTGCTTCATGGAAAGACTGGCAGTTTTAAAGTTTTAACTACATTTTAGGTACTGCTAAAAGTGGAAGTTATGGTGACACTAAAGATAAATTTCCCATGGGTATATTCTCTTTCTATAGTTTTTCTTCCATTGTTTCTGTTTAGAATGTTTTAAATGGAAGCCAAATATGTATTCTAGTCTATGAAATTGAAATAAAGTGATCAAAATACAGGGCTAGCTTTGAAGCTGGTCGTCCCCCACAGTTTGTCAGCCAATAGAGATGTGATAATAATTCTATACTTGCAAATAGTCTTACTTCGGCTCCTTTTTGGAGATCCTTAGGAGCAGCTAACTGGCTGATTGCCTTCTTTATTTGGGTTCACTAACTTTCTCAGGGTTCACTGAGCCCTTACAAGTCCAGAGATTGAGTTCTTCCTTATTAGTTATTGAGACCGTGGATTCTCTTCCAAAATGAACAATTGAAGAAGAAAGTAGAGGGGATATTTCCTGTTATCTGCTGTAGTGTCTCAGCACTGCAGACAGGAGGCACTCAGCTCCCTGTTTAATTTTCCAAGTTTATCAGCAAATCAGCTTCAATCCTGTCTTAAACCAGTAGAGGCGAAGATGGGAAACACAATATGAAATTTTAAAACAATTTAAAATTTAAAGCATCCAACAAAAGTAATTGAAGTTCTACTCTAAAACCCCTTCCTGGATTTAAAAAAGTGTGCAATTTAGATCTTTGTTTTAAAAAGTAATCCTAATGAGCCATGTTTTCATTGCAACTTTTGGGGAACACTGAAGTAACAGTATTATTCCATCACTTCTATTAACTTTATAGCTCAACTTCTTGTTTTTCCATAGGTCATTCTGGAAACAATGGACATACTCTTTAGAATAAGAGGAGGCCTGGATCTTGCATTTCAGCTGGATACTACTGACGGTGTGTCTATAAGAATATCATAGGATCATTTCATAGGCTGGCAAGAAGAAAATTAACTAACTATACTTGTATAAGTATTTCTTCACCTGCTCATTGAAGATTTAGGATTTCTCTCCAAACTGTATAGGAAAAGTGCATAAAGATTATTTAGTTTTTTGACTTCCCTCTGATGTTTCATTTATTGGCTACCTTCTCCTATCCATTGCATTTTTTTTTATTTTTTAGATTTAGTTTAAAGCAATACCAATATCAGTAATTTTAGGTCTTCTTTATAATTTCCAAATGTATATCCCTTGCAGGATGTATATTGAGGCCATTTTACTTGTCCCACCCTTCCCTAAATATTTGTGAAACCCTGAAAAATCAAAAATTCATTTATAGTGACACTTGCTTAGCATGAATTCAGATGCATCAGAAATCCATTAATAGAAAAAAATTCACTTCAGTATGAAGAACATGGTCATGGTAATCTATGCTACTTAAATTTCATGGTAGACCATTTAGTAAGAGGAAGCAGCCACTCAGAGGCTTCTGCACTCAAACAGCTAGTTGCACAAGATTCTGCATCACTAAACTCACAAGAGGAGACCATTGTTAGGTACCACAGAATCAGCTCTAATATGTATTGAGTGACCTGCATTGAGGTGTTCTCTTCTACTTGAGCTTGTGATCTGGAATGGAAGTGAATGTATTCTAATTCTGTCCCTGGATTCCAGCCTCACCATCTCTTTTTCAGTTCCTCTCACAGACTCATTACTTGGATTTTGCTTAGAAAAGGGTCAATTTCACTCTCAGTGAAGCACAACAGAATAGGGATGCAAGAGACTAGTTGACTATCCAGTAAGCAAAAGCTTATCGGATAGTTGACTAGTCCCTCGACTAGTCGCTTCCCACCCCCCCATTGCTGCTTCTGATAGAGGCAGCAAGGGGGGGGGGGCGCAGGAGCTGGGAGGCAGGAGGCTAGCAGGCATGAGCTGGGAATCAGCTGATTCCCGGCTTGAGCCAGAAGCGCAGCAGGACAGGACCTGGTGTGATCTGGGACAGCTGAACCCTGGCTCATTCTGGGTACCCCTGTTGCACTTTAGCCTTTTAAATGTCTTAAGAGCTCTTAAGACATTTAAAAGGTAGAGCCGTTAGCAGCTGGGAGCTAACCCCACTGGGACTCCAACTTATTGACTAGTCGATGGAAAAATCCATGGAGTAGTCAATTAGTTGATTAAATTTAACATCCCTACAACAGAAGTCCAAAATTATCTCATTGCAATGTATTTTGCAACTTAATATTCTACTAATAGAGAATCTCCTTATATATAGAAAAAGTAAGCATGTGGAAAGAGATTAAAGAAGATTCCATTTTATTTTTGTTTACACAGATTGGAGTATTTTTGTATACTTTAATCACTACAGATATCAGTCTCAGACTTTTAATGAAAAACATATTATATAAATGGGGGAGGGGTCTACAATAAGTTAACCAAGTGTTGTTTTTTTAGAAAGGATATTCATAGCTATGATTGCTTTTGCGTAATTTTCTGCATTCTGAATACTGGATGACTTAATAGGACTAATCAAATATGTAAGGATTGCAATATCAGACCCTATGTTTGTTTGAAATAATGGCAATTACCTGTATGCTAAACTCAAAATGGAAATCTGAAATGTACATCTGGTAGCTATAGTAAAAATTTGGGAATAATTTGAACATCACTAACTATATCCTCATTCTGTTTTAGAGACTTCAGTGAAAAAGGCAGTAAAATATGTTTTCAGTGATCTGTCAACCAAACTGTCTTCAAATGTGCTGGTACTAAGAATTTGTCATAGTCCGGTGTATATATGGCCTAACAGCAGGATGAACAAAGTTCCATCAGAACTGACTGATAATTCTGTTTGTAAGGAGATAATACGATTTATTCAGTGAGTATGTTGGGAAAAATGGGACAGTCATAATTTTTGTAATAGATTAATTTCCTGTTATTAATTTCTCTCTGCTAATATTTCAGATTTGACCAAGAAGATGAAATTAAACGAAAACTTATAAAAAAGAAGGATAAAAAATTACAAGACATGGTATATATTTCACCCATATTAACAGTTTATAATAAGTAAAATGTTCATTTCTCACAAGCTGATCCACAGAAGTAAGCCTTTGCATCCACCGAGAACCCCATTGAAATCAATGGTGCTCTGCATTAGGGATGTAAAAGTGTAGTTGATTTAACTGATTAACCAATAAGTACAAGCGTTATTGTATTTCTCCTCTCCTTCCACTTGCCAGTACATTTTTTAGCAGGCTGGCCAGCAGCCCGGCTCAGTCCTGGCTTGCGACGGGTCTGGGACCTACTTCTGCTGTGGCTTGGCATTTAAAGTACATTAGGAGCTGGGCAGGCAGGCAGCCAGGTTCAGTTCCGGCTCACACTGGGTCCAGGAGCTCAACCCTCCTCTAGATAGGGGCTGCTGCCATCCTGGACCGCTGCTTCTTTATCAGAAGCATCAGTACAGGGCAACAGGCAGTCAATCCACAAGGGGAGTTGTTTTTTAAACTGGCTCCCTCGCAGACCAACTCCTATCTGGCACCCTGATACAGAGGCAGCAGCACGGAGGGGTGAGGCAGGAACACACTGGCTGCTGGCCCCACCCCCAGGGACTATAGAATAGTCAACTAACCAATAAGAATTAATGAGGTTCCTGGACTGTTCAATTGACTGAAATTTAACATCCCTACTCTGCTTGAATGCAAAGGTTGATCTGCACAGATGAGCATGCAGAAGTGGGATGTTAGTCTTTAATACTATCTGGGTACATCTAGACTACATGGCTCCGTCGATGGAGCCATGTAAAACAGTTTACTCGGCATAGTCGTTAAAATAAAAATGGCCGCTGTGCTGTGCCGACAATCAGCTGATCCGGCACAGCGCGGCAGTTTAGACGTGGCGCAGTCGACGGAGCCTTTGTTGATCGCTCCGGTATGCCTTGGCTTCCCTTGTTGACCACACCACTTCTAGACTGCCGCGCTGTGCTGGATCAGCTGATTGTTGGCACAGCACGGCAGCCATTTTTATTTTAATGAAGTGGGGATTATTTAAATCCCCGCTTCTTTGACTATGCCGAGTAAACTATTTTACATGGCTCTGTCGATGGAACCATGTAGTCTAGACGTACCCTCAGATATCTTAGCCGAGTTATTTGTTTCTGGTACTTGACATTGTTCAGAACGGCATCTTCCTTTAAACTCTCATTACATCTTACTGGAGTTGTCAAGGCCCTTTTTTGTTTTGGAGTCCTTAACTTAAATTGTTTCAGGAACCCCTTTATGTTCATGGGTCTTAGGAATCCCTTCCATCCCTCCTTGGTGCATGCATTGTTGAACATGTATTAAAGATACATGTAACTGTCTCTATTCTTTACAGCAGCAGATAGTAAATGTAGACCTTATGTTGGAAATGACAACTCCTTTGGCAGCTCTGGCTCCAGTCATTGAAAAGGAAACCAAGAGACACCACTATGTTAACATGACCTTACCAATAGATGTTGTTGTATCTGTTTCTCCAGAACAAACATGGGGGAAGTAAGTTGTAACAGATTCTCCCCCCCTCCCCCTCCCCCAAGCTCGTGTGGGAATGGGTCCTTGCGTTAACTGCACGGAGGCCCCGCTCCCTAGCTTTGCTCTGGGCTTGTACCCTAAAGGAAGTTAGGTATCGGTCTATGCCAATGCATTTGGGAGAGACCAACCTACTCCCCAGCAAGCCGCTAGTTTCCCCCTGGTTGGGGGAGAGTCACCCAAAGTCTGGGGTGGGGAGAGTCACCCAAAGTCGTGGGGTTACTCACGGCCCCTCCGGGTCTGTCGGGAGTGTTGTTCAAGAGGGTGGCGTCTTCGGCCATTCCGTCTTCGAGTCTGGTGCGTGTCCTGGGGTCCGGACCACTCTTCCCCTGGTGTCTCAGTCCCTCGCCATCGGGTGACCTCCCTGGCCGCCTCCGCCGACTCGGCGTCTCCGGCCGCTTTCCCCGCTGCCCGGCGTCCGTGGCTGCTTGCTAGGATGCCCGGACCTGCTCCGTGCTCCCAGCTGCTTCCGCCCTCGCCGCCCGGGATCTCCGCTGGCTTCCCCCTCCGTCCAGCATCTGCGACTGTTCGCTGGGACTCCCCCGCCTGCCGTGGGCTCCCAGCCGCTTCCGCCCCCGACCAGCTCGTCCGGCCGCTTTTTAAACGCGGCGCGCGGACCTGAGTGCACGCGCCGCACTGCCGGGGGAGCGAGCCGGTTTCCGCTCCCTTCCCCTGGCTCTCGGGATTGCCCGCGGGAGGACCTAGGGACGGGGGAACCCTGTCACACAAGTATAATACATCTTTGAGGTATTTTGTGGTATTTGAAGTATTTCTGAGTTTGCTTTAGTTTTCTGTTTTATGAAGCCTGTGGGTTTTTGAATGAAACTGTGGGACTAGTAGAACTGGAAGAGGCTCCTGGAAGCTGCAGCAGCTCGCAGAAGTGGGAGCCAATAGCTCCCAGCCAACATGGGCTGAGAACCGGCAGCTCCGTGTGGAGGCTCAGCAGGGTTGAAGCAGCCCTCTACCCACAGTGAGCTGTAGGCAGGGGCTGTGCTCTGAGTACTGGTTAACTGTTACCTTGTAAGCATCACCCTAACTATTAACATCCCTAGCCCCCCTCCCCCTCCAACTAAGTTTTATAATTATCATTCATGAGTACAGTATTAAATTGTTTAAAACTATTTAAAATTCATACTGCCTAAATATATAGTATCTTTTGTCTGGCAAAAAACATTCCCCTGGAACCTAACTCCTGCTAGTTACATTAATTCTTATGGAGGAATTGGATTTGTTTAACGTTTTGCTTAAAAGTAGTGTTACTCAAGAGTATAACTACAGGTTGAACCTCTTTAGTCCAGGACCCTCAGGACTTGACCAATACTAAACCCAGAGAAGTTGCTGCAGTCAATATTGTCTAGCAACATTACCAAGACTTCCACTGCTTACTAGGCTCTTAGAAGTCATTTAGGATAAATTAGAGCTAAATAACAATACAGAACACAGAGAGCCAGGTTTGGTGGCTGTAAAAAAACTTTATGGGACTGTGGGAATCTTGACCACTCCCATGATAGGGGGACTTCCAACTAATTAAAATCATGCCAGACCATGGATGTTGCCAGATCAAAGAATGCCAGACTAGAGAGGTTCAATCTATACAACGTTAAGTGAGGAGTTGTAATAGTCTTAATCACTATTAGCTCCCAAAACTGTATTGAACATTAAATAATATAATACTAAGTAATAAAAACCCTACATGTGAAAAAAGTAAGTACAGGCAGTCCCCGGGTTACGTACAAGATAGGGACTATAGGTTTGTTCTTAAGTTGAATTTGTATGTAAGTCGGAACTGGCTCCAGATTCAGCTGCTGCCACTGAAACTGACCAGGGGCTGACTACAGGAAGCCGGAGGCAGAGTTGCTCTACCCCCAGCTTCCTGGAATCAGCCTGATCAGTTTCAACAGCTGCTGAATCTGGAGCCTGGGACAGAACAGCTGGGGCGCTGCCCGGTAGGTTCCCACAGGACCAACCCGGCAGCACCTCAGCTGCTCTACCTGAGGCGTCCCGCAACAAAAGCCTGGTCTGCTGGGGGGGGGGCGCACTAGCTGCACCCCCTTGCCACCCCCCAGCACACCAGGGAGACCTGAGCAAAGCCGCACAGGCGGAGGGACCCCGCCGCCCGTGTGGCTTTGCTCGG